ACCCCCTCCGTCCATGGACTGATGCAATGCGATGATGCCAAAATCAAGCCCGGCGAGCCTGAGACACAATCTTGAAACCGGCCTAGGGCCCGGTGGGAAGCGCCCTGCGTCCATCCGCTTTCGCTGCATGGTCAGGAACAAGGAGAATAGAGAGAGCGGGAGACTGACATGTCGCTTTTTTTTCTTTTTTTTTTTTTTTTTTGGCCATTTACCGCGTCATCCTCTTGGGCCGCGTGCACCTCCTAGGCTAGCACTCACGGTCGTAGCGGAAACAGAAAATGGTAGAGGAGGGGTTTAGGTCCGTGCAGCTATGCGACCTTCTTTTTGTTCTTTGGCTCTTGTTTTTCAACTGCTTGCCGTGCTTGCCGGTGGTGATGGTCAGGGGGCGTGGCGTATGGTGTGATGGGCAAGCCTATTTGCTACGGTGTTCCTTTGAGTGGGTGTATCACACCCGCGCGAAATGGCAAACGAAAGGGCAAACGTAAGCGTATCTGTGATGTCGAGAAACGGTATAGAAGCACGAGAAACACAACAAGTTGAGGAAGTTTACAATACGAGTGAAATAAGAGGGATGGTAAATATTGTTTATTCAATTTGCACTCGCCACTTACAACCCAGTCGCCCCCCTCTTCCCCTCGTCGCCGCCGTCGAAGCGCGCCTCGAGCGCCGCGCGCGGCACCGGCGGCGGCGCCACGTCCATCCGGAGCAGGTGCCGCTCCAGGAATGATCTCAAACTAGCCAGGCCGTACCGCGCCAGGTCGGCCGAGGCGACGCCAAAGACGGCGTCGAGCTCCTCGAGCGTGCGCTCCTTGGTCTCGGGCACGAGCAGCAGCACCGCGAAGAAGCCGACCACGTTCCAGCCGGCGTACCAGCCAAAGGCGCCCTGCGGGCCAAAGGCGCCCAGCATGCTGGGCCACGTGACGCTCAGCACAAAGTTGAAGAACCACGTCGTCGCCGTCGCCAGCGACATGCCGAGCGGGCGGAGGTAGAGCGGGTACGCTTCCGCCGAGTACGTGAAGGGCACGGGCCCCGCGCCGGGCGAGTAGACGACGCCAAAGAGGTAGATGCCCAGGGCGATGCAGGCCACGTGTGCGGGCGAGGCGGCCGGGATCTAAAAGGAGAAGCCGGTCAGCAGCAGCGCGAGCGCCATGAGCGGGAGCGTGGCCAGCAGCAGCCAGCGGCGGCCGAGGCGGTCTATGGTGAAAAAGGCCGGCAGCGCAAACAGCCAGTTGACGACGCCGAAGCCCAGCGAGGCCGCCAGGGCGGGCACCTCGCCCAGCCCGGCGCCGAGGAAGACCTCGGACGAGTAGTAGGCGATGACGTTGACGCCGCAGAACTGCTGCATGAACATGACCACCTCGCTCGCCACGACGGCGTTGCGGTTGCGCCGCACGGAGAAGAGTTCGTTTATGCGCGACAGCGTGGTGGCGCCGCGCTGCGTCTCGCGCTCCGCCTCGAGCAGCACGTGCGTGTAGAAGAGGTCGCGGGCCGCCTGCACCCGTTCGTGGCGCAGGCTGCAGATGGCCCGGTAGGCGTCGTGGTGCCTGTCCTTTGTGAGGTACCAACGCGGGGATTCCTTTGTTTGTATCATGTTAGTCTCTATATCTCCGGGATCTGTGATACGCTCGAGGCTTACAGTGCAAAAGGGGATGAGGCAGCAGACCACGACGGCCGGGACCCCCGCACTGCCCATCATGAGCCGCCAGTTGAGGCCGAGCTGGACGCCGTGGTCGGGCACAAAGTAGAATACCAGGTCCGCGACGTATCTGTATTTGAGATGCCATGTCAGCCTTGAGCCGCCCCATCCACAACCGTCAAGAGTACAAACCCACCCAATCATGATACCAAAGGCAGTCCAGACCTGCCACTGCATGACGAGGGCGCCGCGGAGCTTTGGGGGCGCGCACTCGGCGGCGAACATTGCTGCGGACAGGCGAGAGCGGTCAGCCTTTTTCCAGTTGGCGGTTCCAGGTCTTCGGGGTCGCAGAAGAAGCACTTACGGGTTGTAGCCGACTTGGGCCCGATTCCAAGGCCGAGCACGAAGCGGGCGATGAACATGTGCCACCACGTGTTGGTGAAGGCCTGCCAGAAGCAGGCCACGGCCGAGACTGTCGGCGTGCGTGGTTAGCGCCTGTGAGGAGAGGAGTTGGGGATGCTTCTTCCGCTCAGGGGGGCCGGCGCACTTACTGACGCAAGACCAGAAGACGGTCCCTTTCCGCCCGAGGCGATTGTTCATGGGTGAAGTGAGCCCTGGACGGACAAAGGGTCAGTGGCTGTGTAGACAGATGCCTGCTATCCCTCCGCTTTACTCAAGTGATGGAGCGCGACAGCATCCGCGGCTGAGAAGAACTTACAGCACCCGAGGACGGCACAGCACAAGTACGGCGCCGAGTTGGTCAGGCCGAGCAGCCAGGCGTCCCGGCCGCCCTCGCCGCCGATGCCAAACTGGCGCTTGTAAAAGGACTGGGCGCCGTTCACCACCGTCTCGTCCATGCCCTGGACGGCCGCGCAGAGGGAGCATACTAGCGGCATTCACAAGACCCTCAAACGTCAGCTTCCTTTCCGCCAAGTTTTATTTTCATCGTCCCAGAAAGGGGGGAGGGACGGCTAAACTCACTGGCAACGACCCAATACAGCATCCCCGGGTTGGACCACTTGTGCGTAACCTCCCTGCCCAGCACCTCCCTCTCGCGCGCCGTCAGCCCGCCCTCGACCACGTCCTCGAACCCAGCCGGCCCCTTCTCGTTGTCGTCGTCGTCGTCGCCGTTACCCCCGGCGATGGCCGCGCCCAGCCGGAAGGCACGCACGTCCTCGGCGCCGCCCAGCCCGACCCGGCGCCGGCAGTACTCCTCGCCCATGGCCGCTAGCTCGGCGCGCCCGCGGCCCGCGAGCGGGTTGGCGAGCCGCCGGTTGGCCTGGAGCCGCCGGCCCGCGCTCGACGGCGGCGGTGTCGGCTGCTGCTGGGGGCCGGAGGGGTGGGAGCGATGTTCGACGAGGGCGCCGTCCGAGTCGCCGGACCCCTTTCTCTGCGGGACGGTCCCTTCTTTCGACTCCATGCTCGTGTCCATCATTCTCTCTCTTTGTGTGTCCGTGGGTGCGTGGGTGAGCGTTCGGATATGTCACGGATCTCCTGTCTCGTAACTGTTTTATATTGTAATCCGATAGTTCGAGGCGACTGACAAGAAAGAAAACAAAACCTGCAAAAAAAGCCCAGACTCTAGAAGCCGCGGCTGGTGGCGCAAAAGTCACCACTATTTAAACCGCCCGCCCTCTGTCCACACCCAGACAAGCTTCATCATTGTGCAGCTTCGTCCAAACAAGCCCGAAGGCCCCGAGGTAAACAAGCAAACCCCCACACATACAGAGCACCACCCATCTTGAGCGTGCCCGGAGCCGACCTGGCTATGATGTCAGAGGGCCCGAACTAGCAGTGTAACTGTCCTTCTTCGCGCGGACGGATCGCCGCAGAGGGTGGGGTTAGTGTCCATTGATTTTTTTTCTTGTTGCCACAGAAGTGGGCATGTTGAGAAAAGAAACGTCTGAAAGGCATATCGGCCTCCCTCCCTAGTGCTGGCGGGTGACGAGGAGGTAGTTGACGTTGGATGATTGACGCAGAACACGGCTACGAGCGTCTCTTTTCGCCATGTATCCAGCGCGTACACTACTCAACATGAGGAAGATGGGTAAGCATCAAGACATCAACATGGGACATGAACCCCAGGACATGAACCCCAGGACATGAACCCCAGGAGATGGCTCATCAACCACACGGCGCGGCGCCCCGGCCTTGATCGACATGGCGCGTGCAGCCCAGACCGCCGCCCGCAAGGGCCCACCCACCGCCATGGCAAAAGCTTGAGCGGGAGACGTCGTGACGTCTTATCCCCGAGACAGCTTGTCACATTTGTGGGTGTCGGGCATAATCTTGTGTGTTGCACCGACAAAGCTCGAATCCTCGGTGTCGCGTTATGTTCAGATTGTCAGTAAATGACTGGATCGACGGAGTTCCGTTAAAGGATAGGTACTAGAAAGCTTGAGCAATAACGAGGAGCGTCGAAGGTCTTGGCCTTGTCGAGTCGATAAATGAAGCTGACAACAGACATCATCTGCCTGACCAGCCAGCGCCATCGTCAAGGCACGCACTCAACCGGCGCTGACGTTGAGGTGGACCGACAGACAGGGTTTGCCTTGCAAACGCGGATAGCAGCGGGAATGCGGGGGACGGACACCAAACGGACAAGGGGTGGTGATATCAGATAACGGTGGTACGCTATCGAAACAGCGTTTCTGCTGCCCCTCCATGATGAGGAAAGCACCGAAGTCAGACGGAGCTTGGGTGTTGTTGGATTGGCTAGGCCGAAATCGCAGCTTCCGTCTCGCTTCTCAATTTTTTTTCTTCCCTCTTACTCACAACTACAAGCAAACAACCTCCCACTGCCACTGACGAGCAAGCACCCAACTTCCTCCTCCTCCCTCTCCCCATTGATTCATACCACCTAGCCCGTTCTACAACACAACAGCCACAATGTCCAAGGGCCGCGTTTGTCTGTGAGTATACCTACCCTCTAAACTGATACTGCTTTGCAGAGCTCTGCCAGCGTCGCGGGGCAGAAGCAGGTGGACTGACTCGAAGCCATGTCAACAACAGCGCCTACTCTGGAGGTACGAATTGCGTCACTCGCCGGGTTGCACCTCGGTCATTGTGTCACCGCTACTAGGGAGTACTCTCCGTCTCCGTCATGGCTAACCAATCTCTTGAATTCGACGGCAAACAGGCCTCGACACCTCGGTGAGTCCAGCCGATGACCTCAGCCCAACGTCGCTAGTTCTGCAGTAGTACAGGCACACACGCTAACCTACCACTCCGCCTGGCCATATCAGACCATCCTGGTCTGGCTGATCGAGCAGGGCTACACGGTCGTGTGCTTCCTGGCCGACGTCGGCCAGGAGGAGAACTGGGACGAGGTCCGGGCCAAGGCCAAGAAGCTCGGGGCCGAGGAGATGGTGATCCTGGACCTGCAGAAGGAGTTTGTCGAGCAGCTCGTCTTCCGCGCCGTGCAGTGCAACGCCATCTACGAGGACCGCTACCTGCTGGGCACGTCGCTCGCGCGCCCCGTCATCGCGCGCGCCCAGGTGCGCGTCGCCGAGGAGCGCAACTGCCAGTTCCTCAGCCACGGCTGCACCGGCAAGGGCAACGACCAGGTCCGGTTCGAGCTCGCCTTCAAGGCCTGCAACCCGGCCATCAAGGTCATCGCGCCCTGGCGCATGCCCGAGTTCGTCGAGAAGTTCCAGGGCCGCCAGGACCTGCTCAAGTACGCGGCCGAGAAGAACATACCCGTGTCGTCGTCCCCCAAGGCGCCCTGGTCCATGGACGACAACCTGGTGCACTGCAGCTACGAGGCCGGCGTGCTCGAGGACCCGGACCACACGCCGCCCAAGGAGCTGTGGACCCGCACCGTCGACCCGCTCGACGCCCCCGCCGCGCCCCAGGAGTTCACCGTCGAGTTCGAAAAGGGCATCCCGACCAAGGTCACGGTCGACGGCAAGGACACGACGGGCTCGGTCGAGGTGTTCAAGCTGCTCAACCGGCTCGGCCGCGACCACGGCGTCGGCCGCATCGACATTGTCGAGAACCGCTTCATCGGGCTCAAGTCGCGCGGCTGCTACGACACGCCCGGTCTCACCATCGCGCGCCTGGCCCACCTGGACCTCGAGGGGCTCGTCATGGACTCGCGCGTGCGCGAGCTGCGCGACCAGTTCGTCACGCTCTCGTGGTCGCGCCAGCTCTACAACGGCATGTACTTCTCGCCCGAGCGCGAGTTCGTCGAGAACTCGATAATCTTCTCGCAGCAGAACGTCACGGGCCAGGTCCGCATGGCCGTCTACAAGGGCAACGCCTACGTGCTGGGCCGCAAGAGCGACGCCTCGAACCTCTACTCGGAGGAGGACGCGTCCATGGACTCGCTCGAGGGCTTCTCGCCTATGGACACGACGGGCTTCATCGAGATCAACGCCATCCGCCTCAAGAAGTACGGCCTGCAGAAGATCAAGGACGGCCAGCCCCTGACCAAGTCGTCCTGAGCGCTGCTGCTGCTTTGTTTCTCTTCATTTTTCGTTTCATTGGCTTTTGTGGGGGCGTCTGGGAGTGGGAAAACGGGTATTTGGGGGAGAAAATGATGGTGAGGTGAAGGCGTCTCTGGTTGGGCGAACAAGGACGTCGGCTCCCATCTAGTCTCGGGGGAAGAGAGACTTCAAAGAGTGCAGAAAAATCCGAAAGTAACCCGGTTGCCACGAGTCCATGAAATCAAGTAGAATGCATGCATGCAGCAGTCAGATGGGCTTGTCGTGTTTATACGTCTATGCGCATCCCCTGTTTCTTTCCGCTGACGCCCCCATGAGAATCGACCAAGCATCGCTTGAACACCCGTCTTGCCCCTGTGATAATAACGCAAGGAGTTTTCCTTGCTGTTTTTTTTTCTCGTCCCCCCCTAGCCAACCGGCTACAAAGAGAGAGGTCCATATCCAAGAGAGAGAAGGAATAAAAAAAAAAGATACCTCGATGTAGAAAAGAAGGCTAGCAAGAAGGATAAAACACCCAGATACAAAAAGGTAACCACAGACAACAACAAAAGTCGTCATGAGCCCCCCCAACTCATACAGCCAGCCCGAACTCGGCCTCGTCGCGTTCGAGCCTCTCCAGCCCGGAGCAGACGGCGCCGTAGACGCGCAGGGGCACCGCCACCTCGAAGCTCTCGCACGGCAGCGTCTCGGCCGCGACGAGCACGAGCCCGCCGCGGTCGTCGCGCGCCACTTCCTCGAGGAGCGGGTGGTGGTAGTGCTGCTGCTGGCCGCCGCCGGCGTAGTAGCCGTAGCTGTTGCTGCTGCTGCTGCTGCTGTTGCCACCCGGCGTGGTGAGGGGCGCGCGCTCCGTCCGCAGGCTGCCCGTGTCGCTGTCGTCGTCTTCATCCCCGCCATGCTCGTCGTCGACATAGTTGTCGCCGCCACCGCCGCCGCCGCCGCCGCCATTGTTGGGACTAGGGGACGGCAGCGGCGACGTCGGCAGCGGCGGCGGCGGCATGTGATTCGCCATGGAGGCGGCGGCGGCGGTGGTGCTGGGCACGACAAACTCGAGGCGGACCTTCCACTCGAGGCTGATGCCGCTCGTCACGAACTCGGGCGTGGCCGTGGCGGGGATGGTGGGGTTGAAGACGATGCGGCGCGCGTACATGGCGGCCTCGGACGAAGTGGCGTAGACTCTGCGCGTGACGCGGTGCACGCTGGCCTCGGACCGGAGCGCGAGCGACGGGTCGACGCGCTCGGCCGTCTCGAGCGCCGCGTGCAGCGCGTAGCAGGGCACCTGGGCCCGCGAGAAGTCGACCGTCATGGTCACGGCCTCGCCCAGGCGCCACGCGGGCCGCGCCAGCGTCACGACGCCGACGCGCCGGCCGTTGCGCGCAATCTCGAACCGGTTGGCGCTCTGCTGGCCCGCCGACGTCATGTTGCTGCGCAGGATGGCCAGGTCGATGGCCTCCTTGGCCGGCGTGTCGGCCGCGGGACTGTTGGGCGCCGCCATCTCGTCGAACAGCGACGACGCCGCCGAGAAGCGCCGCGTGGCCGTGGGCGAGGGGGAGAGGCGGTAGCCCGACTGGTCGACCGTGGGCGAGAGTAGGCTCTGGTGCGGCCCCTGGTTCGGCCGGTGCACCAGCTCGTCCACGTAGGCCAGGAACCCGGCCATGGTTGACGACGAGGGCGGCGCTGGCGGCTTCTTCTTGGCCAGCTCCGCGACGGCGCTCTCCTCGAGCGTGCGCACGTGCGCGAGGTCCTTGAGGAGGACGTAGGGCGCCATCAGGTCGTGGCCCAGGATCTCGCCGTGGCTGTTGACGCTCCCCAGCACGCGGAAGGGCACGTCGACCGACTTGAGCTGCTGCTCCTTTGCGCCGCCCGGCCGCTGCGTGCCGACGACGAGGCTGTACGATATCTTCATGGCCTTGCCCTTGTGCGTCGGCGGGAGGCCCTTGGGCAGGCGGAATGAGTACTCAAACGTCCTGCTCTCGCCGGGTGCTAGTCGCAGGTCGACAAACAGAATGGACTGCGGGGTCGAGAGGAGCGGGATGGCTTTTGCGCCGGCGATGCCGCGCATCTCCTTGATGGTGCTTAGCTCGCCGCCGCCCAGGAGCTCGCCGATGGAGCTGGTGATGCTGCCCCAGCCAAAGGACCGCAGCAGGCCGCTCTCGCGCCGGGCGCCCGACGCCTGCGACTCGACGCCGATGACGCCGCCGCCCTGGCCGCCAACCACCGCCTTGCGTTTCACCTGCTCAAACGGCGCGAGGTCCATGAGCGAGCCGTCCAGCGTGAAGGAGCCCTGAATCTGCGCGTACCCCATCATGAGGGCCTCTGGTGCTTTGGTTCGGTGGTGGTGAACCAAGAGGTTGGAACGCTGCCGCAGGTGGAGCGGCCTGCTGCTGTTGCTACTGCTGGCTGTCCTGTGAGGCAATGTCGTGACGTACTCGGAAGCGAGCGTCTCGGTCGAGTTGTTGCTGACCGAGTAGAAACCCCCGTCAGTGCTGCTGCGGGGTGTCCCCGAGATGCTTGACGTGGAGAGCACCCGCGCCACCGCTGCTGCCGCCCCTGCTAGGGCGTCACTCTCATTGATGGTCGGTATCGGCTGCTCCTGGTTGTGGAAATTGTAGCTGTCACCGCGTGGGGACTGGCCGCCCACACCCCCCACCATCGGCGTTGCGTCCTCGTCCAAGGGGGTCGTGAGATCGTCTTCAGAAGTCTGTTGTAGCAGGGGTGTCTGGGTCGCGGGGAACTTGAATCCTGAGAGGGCATCGGGCGTTGGCCGTGGGGAGGGCACCGCGCTGCCGAGGCCGATGCCCAGGCCTGGCGTGTTTGGGGTCGTCGAGGGGCCGGAGGAGTTGGAGGGCGGGTAGGAAGCGTTTAGGAGGGGCGATGGCTGTGGGTGGAAGGGCGGTCGTTGGGGATGTGAGGCTTGTCGTCGAAGAAAAAGCATGTCAGTTCGACGCCTGTCCAGCCAGGTACGGTCCAAAGCGATGCATACCTGAGCGAGGTCCGTTGAGGGTGGGGCTGCGCGAGTTGATCTGTAGACTCGACGACCGCCCGTGGCCCCTGTGCTGGCGCGGCGACTTGACGGACCCGGACCCGCCGGCGCCCTGGTCGTGCCTCTGGCCCGGCGAGGACGGGGTTGGCGACCCGAGCGAGACGATGGATATAGACCGACGGTGGCCGCGGCCGCCGTTGCCCTGCTGCTGCTGGTCCTGCTTCTGCTGGCCCGCCGCCTCCGCCGCCGCCGCCGCCGCCGCCGCGACGCCGCCCGAGCCGTCGTTGCTGCTGCTGGGCGGCCACGTCACCGAGCCGGACCGGCTGCGCGCCAGCGGCGGCCCCCCGCTGATGGACTGGCTGCTCCTGTGGTGGCCGCGGGTCACCGCCAGGGGCGGGGCGAGGCCCGCCGCCGACGGAGTCTTTGGCCGGTGCTGCTGCTGCTGCTGCTGCTGCTGTATCTGCTGTATCTGCTGTTGGGCCTGCCTGGCCTGGGCGGCGACGAGGAGCGGGGACGGGTGGCTCTTGCGCCGGTCACTGCCGCCGTGCTGCTTTGAGGCGGTGGCGGGCCCGGACGACGACGACGAGGGGCCGAGGCCGGCCGAGTTCGGGGCGGCGGCGACGTTGCGGAAGGTGATTGTGCACTTCACCTCCTCGCCGGCGAAGACGGTCTGGTCGTGCCAGCGGACAAAGACGCGGATGGTGCTGCTGCCGCCGCCGCTGCTGGCCGGCCCTTCTGGCGTGGGCGCCATTGTTGACCCCCCGTTGCGTGTTTTTACTGTCGTCGCCGAGGTTCCGAGCTGTTTGGGTTGCGTCAACCCTCAGGTGGTCATCAATGCGGTTCTGTATCGCATCGTCGTCGCTGGTTCGTCGGCAGTCGGCACGCCTTGGGAATTGGGAGTCGCGTGTCCTGAAATGGGGGGAGTGGGCGCTCTGCAGCAGGGGGGTTGCTGCAGCTGTAACGCACGAGGCTCAATTTGTGGTCGGGGAGGAGTTGTGGATGCGATTCGCGCCTTTTCGATGCCGTCGTCAGCCTTTGCGGGTGCTCTGTAGGCCAGCAAACGTGTGATGCTGTGCACAGCACCGTGCTGCTGGAACATGCGGGGCGGTGGGGCCAGTCTTAAGCTACAACACGGGCAAGTGCTGCTGTATCTTTCTGCACTTGGCGATGACTTCACAAAGAGCCAACTGGCAACCTGTTTTTTTTTCTAGCTCTCGTACAATTAAAAACATAGTTGCGATCGCAAAGATTTTATGTAGCCCATGGTGTATGCAGTTGAATAAATTCAAGCCCATATCCGATCCCATGTTCCGTATACAAGATCCCTATACCCAGACACATACCCGATCCTATCCCAGGTCTCCCATATCCCATACCCTCAACACCGAATACCGTACACCAGTCCACTCACCCTCCAGCAACCACCCCAACCCCCTCCCACGTCCCCCCGGCCTCCTCCCATAGCCGGACCGCCACCCCCGCCGCCCGCGTCTTGGCCTCCTCGCGGCTGACCCCGTCCGACACGGTCGCCACGCGCCTCTTGCCGACCAGGACCGCGCACTCAAATAGCTTATCCTGCTCGAGCGCGTTGATGTCTTCTTCGTGCTCCGCCGTCGTCATCGAAGACGACGAGGACGACGACAGCGACGACAAGGGCCGCCGGTGGAGCTCCTGCCACGGGTCCACCTCCCTGACCAGGTACGTTACCTTGTCGCTGACGGCGAGCCGGCCCAGCTCCTCCTTGGGGTGCAGTATCTTGACGCCGTCGGCGATGCAGCGCCGGAGGTACGGCAGGATCCCCGCCCGCTCCGCCACGCCCGAGCAGACGTCGAGCGAGCCCGAGTCGACCCAGACGGCCCCGATGACGGCCTCGAACACGTCCGAGTAGACCTTTGCCGCCCGCAGCCGCGCTAGCAGGTCCCACGGGTACCGCCTGTCGTTCTGCATGGCCCGCCGGATCTGGCCCGCCAGCGCCGCGTGCCGCCGCGCCGTCTGCTGCTGCTCGGGTGTCAGGTCGCCCGACGTGTGCCGCATAAAGGTCCAGAGCGGCAGGCCCGGCCGCTCCGACTGCTCCACCTTGAGAGCCTCCCCCTCTTCATTCTCCCCCATCGCATGCTCGTCGCCGTAGTCCTCACTTCCGTACCGCTTCCTCTTCCCGCCCCTGACCTTGTACTGCGCCGTCGCCGGCGTCCGCCACTCCATGGTGAGGAAGGCCAGGAAGTCGCCGTTCACCATGGCGGTGCGGAGCAGATGCATGTCGGTGTGCGCTAGCGGCGGCCTGCCATTGTCGCCGTCGCCGTCGCCGCCACCGATCGCAAAGAGCTTCTCCACCACGACGCTGTCCAGGATGCTGTCGCCCAGGAACTCGAGTCTCTCGAGGCACCCCGTCTCGGAGCCGGGGACGCTGTACGACGAGTGCGTCAGGGCCTCCACCAACAGCGCCTTGTTGCGGAACGTGTAGCCCAGCAGCCCCTCGACGGGCCTCATGGTCACCGGCAGTTTCTTGACGCTCTTTGGCGCCGCCTGGTACAGGATCTGGCGGCCCAGATCGAGGCTGCGCCACTCCTCGTCCGGGAGGAACAGCGAGATGCAGCGCAGCGCCTTGTCCATGCCGCCCTCGATCAGCGCCGCCCCTATCAGCGCCTCCACCACGTCGGCCAGCGTCTTGGTCGATAGATCTCGCTGCGCCTCCATCGCCTGGAGGACCCTCTTCCAGCCCCGGAGCGTGTGCTGCTTCGTGATGATGAACCGGTCCAGCCCAAACTTGACCGCTGCCCGGCATAGCCTCGAGTTTGACACGATCCTGTCCTTTACGAGACTAAGGTAGCCCTCGGGGTACTCCAGGTTATTGGCCGCACACGTGATGGAGGCGCACAGCTTGAGGATCGAGTCGCCTAGGAACTCTATGCGCTCGTAGTTTGTCACATTTTGCGAAGACGGCGCGCTGAGCGCCGTCACCACAAGCGCCACGTCCTTGAACCCGAGCGTCCCCAGCGGTGTCGTTCTTAGAAGCTCTTCGGCCACCATATAATTCTCCATGGCGTTGGTGATGGACGGTATCAACATGCCGAACTGCGCCATAGTCATTGTCAGGCTGTCGTCGTCGACTATACAGTCGCTCGCTGGCACGATTCGGGGATAGGGTCTCTTGTTGTCCTTCGGGGGCTGGTCGGAACCTTGTTGCTCTTGTTGGACAGCTTCACCGCCGATGAGGGCGGCATTCCGCTTTAGAAGACCGCAAAACCTTGGCCATTTCCGCACGACCAGATAAGGTATGTCTTGCGGAGATTCCTCCAGCCCCTTCTGGTGGTCCCTGACAAGGTCCAGAGACGGCTTCGACGGCAGCCAGTCCTGGCAGATGTACATTGTCGACCTCTTTTCGTCTCGCACGATAGAGGGGCCCCTTGCAGCGAAGTGTTCGTACGAGAACGGCACGCTACCAACCAGAGACGGCTGGAGTGTGACACCGGGCCAGACGAATCTCAGGGGCTGGCACTGATCAAATATCGGGAAGCGGTGTCCGAACGACATGGCAAGCAGCGTCTTGGTGTGGCTCAGCGCGAGGGCGGCGATGGAGCTTTCCTGGCCTTCAACGCCGACTCCAGACATGGTGGTTTCGGCATGCAGGCTGACGGTCCAGGGCAGCGGCGACGCTTGCGTCCAGTAGAGCTCGAAGCGCGACAGGGTGGGGAACTGGCACGGCAGCAGCACGTTAACGTCGTACATGGTGGAACCATGTTCGTCGCTGAGTCGCAGGAGGCACCAGTGAATATCTCGCAGTGCCTCCTCGTCCCACGCCGCGACGATGTCCACCCAGGGGTTGTACTGCTGCTGCACCAGCATCATGCCAGGCCTGCCTTCAACGTCTCGATTAGCCGCCACTACTTCCTCCCTGATGGGCAGCAGGTGTTGGTTCAGCAGCCCAGCATCGTAGAGCATCTTGTACGCCTGCAACGCCGCGTCTTTGCACGCGTTCTTCTGCGACATCCACCCCCGGCTACTGCTGATCCGCCGCAGCTTCAGTGGCAGCGACACGGGCAGGAGCACGGTGGCGTGTATCTCGCTCGATGTTTCGTTGATGAGGTACTCGGGAGATGGGTCCACGAACATTCTCGACCCGATGACGCGGCAGAAGTGGTCTAGATGACCCTTAGCATCTTTGATCGTGATTTCCGCCGCCGTGTCTCTCGCTCTTAGGGGTGCCAGTGGGCCGTCCATGGTTGTATTCTCCGCTTCTTCATCCTCCAGCTGCTTGAGGTGGTCCAGCTCCCGCATCTCGTCCTCGTAGCGGCGTTTCATCTCTTTTTCGAGCGCCTCCCAGTCGTGGGCGACCAACCGCTCCCCCTCCTCGAGCAGGAGATGAAGCTGCGACGAGCGCATGCGCGCCCGGCCCCGCCTCTGTATGAACGACTTGAGGTTGGCCGGCCTGTCGAAGCACACGACGAGGTTGCAAACTGGGACGTCGATTCCCTCCTCCAGCACGCTCGTCGCCACGAGAAGGTTGATCCTGCCACTTCGGAAGTTATCCAGGGCCGATGCGCCTTTACCGTCCTCCATCGGGGACAAGTCGTAAAAGTCCCGCTTCCGCGCAGCATTGCGTGATGTGCCGACCATGTAGCCGACCTTGTAGCGCTCGTTGATCATCGGGAACTCCTGCAGCAGGCTGGAGAGCACAGCCGCCGTCGCCCGCTCCTTGACAAAGACGATGCCAACGGGGTTCCCTTGATGGCTCGCGAGCACCGTCAGCAGAGCCTGCAGCTTTGGCGCGCTGGTCTCGAAGGCCGGATATGGTGGCTGCGGCGGCTTGGCCCTGACTCCCTTGAGAATCTTGACCAGGTATCTCTGCTCAGCGTCCAACCATCCCACCAAGTAGGAGCTTCTCGTGCGCGACTTGGTGGCCCGCTTGATAGCCTGGCACATGTAGCTATCCGCTGCCCACGACCCCATCTCTTCCAGTATTGTCTGGCTTCTGCTGATGAACGCCTTTATCTGCCTGCGGATGAACGTGTCATGATTTTCAAAGACTTTTTCGAGCATCCTCTTGCTCCTATCCGTACCTTGGGCATAAAGATGCATGACGTATGGGTCTTCGGCGATCTTGAGCTGGCTGAACGCATCCTGCAGCCTTCTCATGTTGTCCGTGGGGCAAGTCATGGGGTCCGGGGGTCTGGGATAAGCATCGATGGCCATAAGGGGCCGGTTGACGTTGGCGAGGAGCTCATCGCGATGAACCGTAGGACCCCGGCAGACGGCATCCAGTGATGCTTCTAGTGAATCCATCGAGGTGATATCGGACCTCATGACCGGACTGGCCGTCAGTCCCAGGATATGGGGCACGGGAAGCCCGGACTCCTTGCGAGGATGATAGAACTGCATCATCATCCTCCGACCTGAGTTGTTGCCGAGGCAGTTGTGTGCTACAGAAGCTCAAGTTTTGTGTCAGTTGATATAGACGAGCGAATGCGGGATTCAGCATGTGAAGGGGATTGGGGATAGTTGGGATCCCTAACCTTCATCGAAGACAATAAGAGATATAGTATCCAGCGTGACGAATGAGTGGCTCAGGGCGTCAAACAGTATCTGGTACGTGCAGACAACAACTCGGGTCTCGAAAAGAACAGCATCCCAGATGCTTTGGTTCGACCAGGAGTCGACATTATCGTCACCTGTGAGAATCTTGACACCGATAGATGGGAGCTGCGAGCGAAGGACTTCGAATTGCTGATTACATAGTGTGACGGTTGGGGCAAGGAACCAGATGCGCTAACAAAGGTTGAAAGTGGCATGTTAGAATTCGAGTGGACGTGGCCGTGTTTGGATCGGGGTAGGCAAGACAGGCTTACCTTGTCTGCGTCGGTGCGCTCGAGCTCCGATATTATCCGGAGGACAGCCCTACAGAATTTCTAGTTAATAATAGAGCATGGATAAATCCTTTCAGAATAGATTCACTTACACCTGTGTCTTGCCGCTACCCGTGTCCATCTATGACTCCAACGTCAGCGAAAGTCTCTTCCCATGGAACCACTAGAACAGCCTGGAAGCCGAGAGCCCGGATCTGAGGATATCTCACAGAAACAATGATGTTCTGCTCCATGCTCGCCTGGAACAACTCCAGCTGATAGACCCTGGGCGTCATAGACGTGCGCGGCGCAGGGGTGCCAGGCCCAGCGCTGTCGTGTAGACGGGCACTGCCGGTCGTCGGCGATGCCGAGTCCTCGTGCTCTTCCACGACATCGTGATGGCCTAGTCGAGGCTGCTGGCTGCCGCCAGCCACGAGGACGGCCATCTCGTCTGCCTCCCCCTCGGAATCAGGGGACGACGTGCGGTCGTCTTGGAGGTGCGCCATTTTTTTTTTTGCCAATGACGACGGCGTTGTCGTCCCTCGGATCGAGATCCGGAAGCACGACTAGGTTTGTGGTGACTTGCCTCTAAGCCCGGACTGACGTGCGCGGTAGGCAGTACAAGTCGTTGTCAGGAATGGGTGGGACTCTGCGTCCGCCCCGTCAACGCACTTTTGGGGTAGGGCTTCCCCGCAGTGGGATGCGCCCTAACGCAGAATCACTCAAGGGGGGTTAGGTAGGAATTTGCTGGAACTGGGTAGATTCTGTCGTAAGGGGCAAAACAATGGAGGTCAGATGGGACAAGGCCGATAGTCCTCAAGTCTGATGTTTGAAAATGCCCTTGGAATGCAGTTTTTTTCTTTTTTCTTTTTTTTGGCTGTGCAAACTTGGAGTCGTAGGGACTGAAGGGATGGAGGGGGAGGGAGAGGTTGGGCTTAAAAGCCCCAAGCAGCCTACGGCCGATGACATCCAATGTAAAGTGGCACCAGACATGGACACTCGTCGACGCCGGAGGCCCGCCATTCCCAGGGCTTCGGCGCCTGGGAAATCTCTCAGAACCCTGGGAACGTGCCTGAGACCGGACTGTCTGGCTTGAGGGCACCTGGGGAGCAACAGGGCCGTGGGGTCCGTGGCGCATTCACTGCGCCCTGACAACTTGGACACAGTCGGTCATGTGGCTGGCTGCTCCTGGAAGCCCAATCTTCAGGCCGAACTGGTGTTGATTCGGCCGTAAGACTTCCCAGGTGATGGGCCAGCCGCTGTCCTCTGGAGGCCTGTTGAGCGCGACCAGGCTGAAGAATCCAGAGCACAGTTTTGTGTTGGTTGTAAATTAGAGCTCCAGACATCACACCGAGAAAGCACGCCTGTCCAGGGTCAATGGTGGGGGTGGATCTGGACCCCAGCCGCCTGAGCTCAGTGGCGCAAGGGGGATTTGCCTTCCACCAACAGCCATCATCGATAACACCAAAGTGTTGTGCTGATCTTTGCTGCCCTTCGCCACAGCTCTCGTGCGAGAGGCTGTCTTCACGGAATTTTTTTCGGCGTAACCCGGGCAGCCATAATGGAATTATATGCGGCCGGCCTAAACGCGTGGGACCAACTGCGGTTCGAGGGGTCGCCACCACCGCAGGAGCCCGACGACCTTGACGCATTCTCCTGCGTGTTGGTGGACGGCGGCGCAGTTGGCGATATAACCTCATCGCTTTCTTACACACTCGGTGAGTATGGGTTCGCAACGACAACTGTTGCCATTTTTTTTATTTTTTTGGAGGTACAAGATTCGATCCTGAACGCAGGACCAACCTGCCCACTCAGTCGAGACGAGCAGCGGCACGAGAGCGGCTGGCGAGGTGCCCGAGGAGGACGCGGCCCTGAGAAGACAACACGGCAGCTACGCCCAGGCGGCCAACGGGTCGGTAGTAGGTATGTTCGAAGGAGTCCCAACTGCAATCGAGCTTCTGCTCATTCACCTTGGTGATGTGCCGAGTTCCGTGAACAGTTTTCGTCGACGCGAGAACAGTCTGTCAATATAGTTCGATACTAGACGCCTTGACAGCATCCGACGTAGCAAAGTACACGCCTACCGAAACAAGAACCCACCGATTCCCCAAGGATGTGATCCAGCTGGTCGCGTATGACGTGGGCTTTGCCGCCTTGTTAGCCACCGGCAACGTGTGGACTTGGGGCGACGACAGATATCCAGGCTGCCTGGCTCGGCCTGTCACCAACAGTCAATGGTAAGGACGGCTATGAGAGGTCCGCCAGAAGGACAAATAAAACCCGTGGTGTTGTATTACTATTATTATCCCTTGGCCGCGGACGAGCGTGCCTCATCGAGTCCTTGTAATCCCGGCTGCTAACGTCAAAAACAGCTCCCAAACCCCCGGCCTTGTGACCGACCTAGAGGACTTGCCGACTGGCAAGATAAAGAGGATCGCCGCAGGTGGCTACCTCCTCGCTGCCCTGACGACTGGTGGCGACCTTTACTGCTGGGGCGGACATCCCGGCAGGAAGGCCATCATAGGCGACAGCAGCGAAGACATGCTGTCAGGCCCGGTCCCCGTAGTGGTGGACGAAGACGCCGACGTGACCGACGTTGCCGTTGGAGAGTCGCACCTGATAGTACTCACCGATCGAGCCGACGTATTTGTTATCGGTGAGAATAGCAATGGCCAGTTGGGCCTGGGGAAGGATAGGTCGGTTTCGGCCAGGTCCTGGACGAGGGTCGAGCTGCCACAGCCCCTCCCACAGGTGCGGGAAATCGTTGGCGTTGCCGCTGGGCCCAGGTGCTCATTCATCAAGAGGAGGAGCAAGTAGTTAGACCGCGACATCAACATGGAACGAAAGCAAGAGTTGAAAAGAGACGTCATTCAAATCTCGTTGGCCCTGGTGTCCTCTATTTTGGGGTCTACTGTACAAGGGTCTGCGAGGGTTTGGTAATTAAGAGATGGTCATGGAACCAGCTGCACGATTACAGGTTGGTCAAGTAGTCCTCAATCTCCTGCGGACTGAGTTTCCTGAAGCGAGGGCCTTGGGCTCCCTCGACGCCCTCGACGCCCAGTAGATGGTGGGCAGGAGGTCCAACGATACCTATAGCAGTTAAATATCACCCAGTCAGTCACGTGGCAGTTTTGCGACAAAAAAACAACAAGGATGATTCCTCTTACCAATCTCGATAGAGTCACCGTTCATTTCTCCCTCGATGGTCTCCTTCAGGGTCAGGAGCGCGATGTGGACAGCGTCCTCGAGCTCCAAGGTCTCGGTGTACCTCTTCTCCAGGAAGGTCTTCGCGTTAGTGGCGGCCTTGCCGATAGCTGTGGCCTTCCAGGGAAAGTAGCTGCCCGAGGGGTCGACCTGGTACAGCATGGGGCCGCCCTTGAGGATGCCGCCCGTCTTGCCCGAGACCTTCTTCTTCTCGCCCTCGGAATCCTCGACCGTCTTGTCCTCCTCGTCGGGCAGGATGCCCTCGTCCCAGCCGGCGATCAGCAGGCTGACGCCGTAAGGGCGGACACCGCCCGATTGCGTGGCTTCCTGCACAACGCGGGCCACGTCCTGTACCAGTATCCTCGTCGGCGGGTATTCGTTGTAGATGCGCTTGTAGCCAGAGTGCGACACCTTGCGCGCGCGGTCGACCAGCACCCTGTAGTCGGGACCCATGCCCGCGTACACCATCCCTATATTGGGCGTGATCAGGCTGATCTTGGAGAGCGATGAAGGGTCTGCGAGAGGCGACGACGACTTCTTCTCGGTCGCGAGCACGATTCCGTTGGTCGCTGCGGGGTGCGGCGGAGCTGCGTTAGTACGCCCACGGTCCGTTTTTGCCTGGTGGTGATGCGGGGAAGCAGCACGTACCCTTGATCCCAAGCGCCGTGACGCCCTGGTTGACGGCGTTCAAGGCATACTCTGGAGCAAACAGTCAGTTCCGACCTCTGACCGATGTGCGGCGACGGAGCGGCGGAGGCGGGGGAGCCGCCGAGGCAGCACGCCCGTTCGGCAAAGGCTGGGCAGGTATTCAAAAGGGTTCCGTACCAATCTGCACAAGCTTGCCGCTGTAGGAAACATGTCAGTCGTGTTCTCTGAGCGTATCTGGATATCCCAACATGCGGCACAAGGCTGGCCCGCCCTAGATAGTCTTCGGAAGCTCACCTTGGCGAGAAGGTCGTCAGGGAGAACGAGTATCGGTCCGCCATGGCTGCTGAGGGTTGCTGGGTATTTACGGTGTCCGAAGCGACTCTGTGAATCTATGCGGCCTCGGAACAAGGAGTGCTGGGCGAGGTGGGCAGAATGCCAGGTTCGGGTTGAGGTCGTCAATTCGGGCGGGCGAAGCTGTCCTGGTCCAGCCGTAGATGCCCGCGGCTGCTGTTCTAGGCACCTTGTAGCGCGTCAGCTCTGGGCCTCCTGGAGAGCTCCAGCGTGCATGGACCACCACCCACCTTCCTAAGTGGGCCGCCGCTGTTGGTGCTGGTGTCGCCCACGATCGGAACCCTGGCACTGGAGGTTATGTTTCGTTTTCTTTTCTTTTTTCTGTCTGTAAGACATCCCTCCTGCTAAACATTCCCATTCTACCGTCTCCTCTTCCTTGGGCTACCTGACGGCCCGTGCAACTGTTCTGATGAAGGGCATTTTGTCGCGGACACGGCTGTGTGGCGTCCGGGGTGTAATCACAAATGTGGCTAGAGATATGTGGCTGACATTCGACACAGTTTCATCTGGTACTGGTTCGCTTGTCAAACACTGTGCCAACGTCGCCCCCCACCTAAAGAAAAAGCAGCATTTTTTCCCTCCAAATTGTGCGCCTTCCTGGTGTCCCTGGCCAGCCGCGCAATGCAGCTCAGTTCTGTTGCCCGATTGAGACACGCCATCGGAGCCTCGGTCTAATACTGCGCTCGCAAGGCGACGTGTTCCCAGGATGTGACCGCGTGCGGCTCCTTCCCCCAAGCTGTTTATTCCACTCCCCTCCCATCCGTCCTTTCAATGACCTAAAGTAGGTGGTACTTCTTTCCTTTCTTTTCTCTCTCTGCCAAGCCCACCCCTTCCTTCCCTCTGACAGCTCTAGCCCAACGCCCTCCAATCAACTATCCTTTGCCTGGATGTACCACAGCCATCCTGCACTCGTTTGTCACCCATGCTCATTGACCGACCACAGTTATACACCTCGGGGTGCAGCGCACGCAAACCTGCATATCCCACTTCTCGTCATCCTGTTACAACGTACGATCTAGCCGGTAAACATGGATGAGCCAAGCGCGCCCTTTAAATCCGAGCCATCGTGGTCCTGGGGCGATGCCATACCCGCCAGCGCCAGCGCCAGCACCGGCGCAGAGCCGGTACCCCAGTCGGCATCTGCCGAGGGCCTCCGCGCCCGATCGCCTCCGACCCCGCAGCCTAACCCCGAACCCAAACCCGAAGCCGAGGCCGAGCCGCAAGTGCAGCCGCAACACGAACAGGGGCAGCAGAGGCAACGGCACTATCGCCCACGGCAGTGTAGAATCTGTTTAGATACGGTGCCGCCGACGTTTGACACGTCGGAAAGCGGGATTTTCGGCTCGGGGCCCCGTGTTCGGTACATATCTGAGGACCCGGAGCTAGGCAGGCTTATGAGCCCTTGCCGCTGCAAGGGCTCCCAACGATATGTTCACGAGGGCTGCCTCCAGGCGTGGCGCCAAGCCGCACCACTGTCGGACCGCAATTTCTGGCACTGCCCGACGTGCAAATTCCAGTATCGCATGTCCCGCCTGCGCTGGGCGTCGTGGTTGTCCAACAAGTTGACGCGCATGGGCCTGACACTCGTCGTGCTATTCATGCTGGTTTTCTTTCTCGGCTTCATCGCAGACCCCATCATCAACCTCTACGTCGACCCTTGGGGCTGGCTGTTTGGGTTCTGGTCCGACGTCTCGGACGACTGGGACGACCTAAGAGTGGAACTCGAAGACGAAGAATCGTTTGGTTGGTACCTGCACTTCTTCAAGGGCGTCCTCTCCCTGAGTCTCGTTGGAGCCGTCCAGGCGTTCACGACCATGAACCCATTCACCTGGTGGCAGCTCCGCGGAGGCGGTATTTTTGGTGGCGGAACCCAGCGTGGACGGCGCGGCGGTGGTCGCGACCGGATGGAGAACATTAACCTTGCGGTTATTGTTGTTGGGCTGTTTACTATCCTCGTGGTAAGTCTTAGGGCGCTGTCTGTGTCTTTCTTTTGGACTGGCACCTTGCTCTTCTATCCTCTTGGTGGCTTGCTAACGCATAAACGTAGGCGACGTGGAAGTTGGTCAGTGCCTTGAGCTCTCGGGCGCTGGAGAAGGTCAGCGAGCAAGTCATGGATATCCAAGGAGATGATGAAGATGACGACGGCGACGACGACAGCCATGCCGATGCCGATGACGCCGGTGGTGAATAGGTTTGGTTCTCGCTCTGCTCTGGAGCGTTTGGGATATACATGAATGAAACGTTACCTGATGTGCCATTCCCCATGCCCTTGCCTCGAATTTACCCAACAAGCACTGCACACTCTTAAGTTGCCTCGAGCCAGCTCTCCATGGTGCGTCGACTAGTCTGTGTGCAGAGATGGATACCTCGTCGTCCCTCTGAGGTCGAGCGTCTTGCTTCGGTCTCTTTTTGGGCACGGTGAGGGGTCAGCCTCGCTGTCAAATGCTGTTGTTTCCTTTCTGGAAGCGGTAGCGCGACATTTACATCACTCTTCAGAACTCTCTTGTTCTTTTGGTGAAGGTGTGGTTCGGAGCGGGACGTTGATACAATTGTGACCCTTTAAGTTTGTTTGAGCGAAAGCCTGTCCTTAAAGCCGTGGTGTCATGCATTTTCGGGTCGGGGCCATGCCACACCTTATTTGTCGGCTAGACTAGAAGTATCAGGATCCCAAATCGGTCTTGTTATGATGACTTGTTGCCGCATCTGGCGCTTGAAATGACTGACTGGGCCGAGATGGCACGGCATCGCAGCCTTCACACGTGGCTTTGTCACAAACTAACTTCCTTCACCGACGACTGTGCGTGTTGGCCACGCCGTGCCATCTAATTGGGTCGGGGGCAGCCGTCCAGGGCCAGGGAGGTGAGGCACCATGCAGGGGTTATTAGATAATGAAATAGGGGGAGGGGCGCCCTGCGAACGATTCGCCTTTGGCTGTGGGATGGATTTGATAATGGGCAAGACCAGATTGGGCTCTGAAACGCTCCCTCGCTCGATGGCCTTTTCATTATTAACAGCATGGGCATTTGATCTGCTTCCCCCCGGTTCTTTCGAGGGGGTAAAATTATCTCAGACAATGCGTCTTTCCTGACAGGCTGGACAGAGCACCCATTTTTTTTTTGTCGCGGTTTGCTTGCTTTCAACAGGGTACCTACCTGGTAGGTACTGTACCTTGCGATAGGCCAGGTAGTTGCTGCACCAAAGACGGCCGGACCCGTTTTCAACATCAAATTTCTGCCCGTCGCGACTGCTGTCTTGCAACGAGGCACAAGCACACGATTCGACGTCTCAACGACTTTTTGCCCACGCTCGTTATCTTTGTTCCCTTCTCCTGTCCCCATTCTCCAGTCCCATTTGCGACTCCCCGTAGTGGCCGACTTTCCTAGCACGTTTTATATCGATTTATATCGGCACAGAGACGACAGATTGCAGCGCCCTTGGGACCGTTCGACAGGGGGGTTTGAGGCCACGAAAACGCAGCTCGAGTCCAGAGCCTCGACGACCAGAAGCGGAGCGCCCGATCCCGAAAAGCCTTCCCGCCCTGTCCCTTGGGCCTTGTACACCTGTCGACCGAACACGGGCGAAGCTTGGACGGGAGAGCTGGGCCCCAGCCAGGCGTCGACCACAGCCCTGCGGCCAAAGTGATTGAAGCGGCAGCCCACCACCACCCATTGCGCGCGCGCCATCCACTCCCCCGACGACACACCAGCGCGACGAGACACACACACACACCCCGACCGAGGGGGTCGAAGAACAGCAAGAACGAGGACGAGGACGATGCACCTGCCGTACCCGTCCAGGAAGGACTCCAACGCCGCGCGGTACGCGCCGGCGCGGCGGGGGCCCGGCTCCGGGCCAGCGCGGTTCGTGCCGCCGATACTGCGGAGGATGCGGCTGCGGGGTGGCGTGGCGCTCGTGGCGCTCGTGCTGGGCGTGCTGTACGTCGGGTCGCTGCTGAGGACGGGCGGCTTAGGCGGGCGAGGAGGAGGCAGTGGCGCCTATGCGGAGCACGTCCCGACGGGCAGCCCGCCCGCCGTCATCGTGACGGTGTTCGAGGACGGCGGCAAGTTCAGCAAGGCGTACCTGCAGAACGTCAAGGACAACAGGATATTATACGCCAAGAAGCACGGTATGTTTTTTTTTTCTTTTTCATATGCACAAAAACGCCTTCTTCTCCTCCCACACCGCCGTTCTGGGTCGTCACCTGGACACATGCTGGACGAGGGCGCAAATAGACTGACACACGCTCCCCCGACAGGCTACGAGACCTTCTTCCCCACAGTGTCCGAGTACGACCTCGGCGGGTCGCCGGCGTCGTGGGTCAAGGTGGTGGCGATGCGGCACGCGCTGTCCAAGTTCCCCGACGCCAGCTTCGTCTGGTTCCTGGACCAGGACTCGCTCATCATGACGGGCGACGTGGGCGTCGAGACGGCACTCATGGAGCCGGCGGCGCTCGACAAGGTCATGATCAAGGACCACCCCGTCGTGCCGCCCGACAGCATCATCAAGACGTTTGCGCACCTCAAGCCCGCCGACGTCGACCTGGTGCTCACGCAGGACAAGGACGGCCTGAGCGTCGGCAGCTTCATCCTGCGCAACGGCGAGTGGGCCCGCTTCTTCCTCGAGACGTGGTACGACCCGATATACCGGAGCTACAACTTTCAGAAGGCCGAGGCGCACGCGCTGGTGAGTTTTTATTTGTCTTTGATTCCCTTTTGGCCACTTGCCTGAGTCCGGACGGCTGACGCTAACATCCCCCCGCCCTTTCAACAGGAACACATCGTCCAGTGGCACCCCACGATCCTCTCGAAGCTGGCCGTCGTGCCGCAGCGGTACATCAACGCCTACAGCAGCGGCGACGCCAGCGCCGAGTTCAAGCCCGGCGACGTCGCCGTCCGCTTCAACACGTGCATGAAGACGGGACCGGCGGCCTGCGAGGCCGAGGCGGACAAGTATAACAAGCAGTGGCGCAGCAACTTCAAGTCATGAGACGGGATGAGGAGTGGGAAAAGAAAACCCAAAAGATTTAATGTAATGAACAAGGAAAGATCCAAAGGCTGGCGGTGTGGGTGGCGGGGGCTATTTTGATTGATCTTTTGGTTCTCAATGCATTTTTTCTTCCTTTTTTTTTTCTCTTTTTCTTTTACTTGTTCCTTTCTTCGATTTTACATTTCCACATATTTGGGTATTTTATGGCACCCACTTTTGGCACTCTTGTGTTACCATTTACGTCGCTAAGCGTCAAAACATTATGGATATCTTCTTGTCTCTTCTGTTTCTTCTTTTTTTTCATTCCTTTGCACTTCACACCCGAGTCCAATACACAATTACCTTTTTTTACACAAGCCGCATGAGAAAAAGAATACGATGTATGCAATGACCAACTTTCCCCCAAAGCATGCATAGTCAGACACCCTAGTGACCCTCCCTACCTTCGGGTCCTGTGCCCAGCTCCTCCCCCGACGGGCTATGGGTGGCAGGAATAGGCGCGCCTCCCTCCACGCCGAGGCCTCCTTGTCTCGTAGCCGTGGGGGAGTGGCACAGCGAGCAAACTCCCTGCTGCGGCCGACCAGAGCCTCACCTCCTAGCCGCCGCCGCCGCCTGGGCTCACGTCACATAAGGCGCACGCGGAAGTACCGAAAAAAATAAACGGTTTTATTGGCTGACGCGCCCGAAATTAGCGGCCCGGGGCTGAACTGCATGAGGGGATCACAACCAGCAGTTTCGTTAGCTGTACTGGCTGGCTGTCACAAAGAGAAGCGTCCGGGCTGTTTCAACCCGCACTACAAGCTTGGAATTGAGCGAACTTGCGCACCGTAACCAACATTTATTCCGCAGCCAACATCAATTGCGTCCATTTTCCTGTGAATTTTGGAAATACTTCCTAAGCGACCGTAAAGATTTGATCTGCCTGCTTGCCTTTTCGCTGTTCGCTTTTTTGTCCTTGAGCCTCTTTCTTGTCCTTGAGCCTCTTTCTTGTCCTTGAGCCTCTTTCTTGTCCTTGAGCCTCTTTCTTGTCCTTGAGCCTCTTTCTTGTCCTTGAGCCTTACCGACTCGCAACATGTCGGCGGCCGAAAGGCTAAAGTTCCTTCTCGTTCTACTGTTCGCGGGATGCGTCGCCGCCGCTGATGCCGGAGATGACTTCTCCAACAATTTATTCTCGGATCTGGCGCCGTACGTTTAACAGCCCCACCCTATTCCGGCTCGTGTATTAATGGTCTTTTCCTGCTAGACTGCTGGCGCTCTTCGGAGAACGGGTCACTATGCAGTTCATAAGTCAGTCGACAGGCTGGGCCGACAACATCATCCTGGCAATGGCTCCCCTGGGCGTGATCACCGCCATTGTCTGTGCGATCAGAGTTGGCGGCCCTTCGTGGCTCAAGGCCATCATTGGAAGGGCAAGGGAAAGCCGCGCCGTCATCGAGTCCGAACTGATGTCTTCTACCTCGCATGAGGTATGCGAGCTCTGGAACGGCCAGCAGATTGTTAGAGTAATGGGGAAAGGACCGATTCTGGAATTCATTATCCTATCGGGCAAGGGAAGCGGGGAGAATGAGGGACAGGCGCAGACAGCGACCCGGAAGACTGGTTCAACGAGTGAAACGGAAAGCTGTCCGGCTGGTGACCAGGACACTGCCCCAAAGATTATGAAACTGAGGAGTGCCGAAGACTGTTTGCCGGAATTCCGTAAGTATGCCCATCCATCCAGTTTTGTTACCCTAACCTAACCCTTTTCTCAGAGCCCACCATTCGAGACCTTGTCTTTGGCAACCGTCTTCTTCAACGCCAGGATACTCATCGGCCCAATCTCGCCTCGCAGTTGAAGTCTGCCATCTACGACATGTTCGGCAAGAGTGCTCTGCCGGGCCAGGACCCCGAGACTGCTCCACTAGGCCCCTCTGCACCTACGCCGCAGAAAGTGCATGCCGTTATTCGGAATACGGAAGCCCATACACCAAACCTCACCCTCAATGTTCACAACCAAGTAGGCAGAGGAGAGCTATACATAGTCGCCGCATGCGGTACTGTTCTTCAGCTCGGCGTCCTCGTCTATTCTGGACTAGCTGCCCGCCTCCTCATGTTCACCAAGGATGGAAACCCCGTCGCGGAATACGCCTTTCCATGTACCGCGGTTGGTGCGCTGCTCTTGGTCGTTGGCATACTGGTTTGCTCTCACGTTGTCGAGAGCGCCACGTCGGAAACGAGGTACCGTCCAAAGGATGGGATGGAGGCTCGAGTTGTATGGCTGCAGCGATCTGGGACCGTCAACGACCAGTCATTTGAGCCCTTTGCAATTTTCCCTCGGAAACCACAACCTATAATAACGACTTCTCACCGAGCCAGCCAACGGAAGCAAGGACGAAGAACGATGGCGTCGATATTCTCTGCCCTCTCGGTGGGCATTTTCGGCATGGTTGGAGCCACGGTCGAAGAACTTGTAACAGTCGTTGCCGTGTTTGTCAGCGTCAGCGGCTTTATCCTGCAGTTCACCGGGTTGCGCGCGATGCACTGGTCGGCCTCGGTTACTCAACTTGGCGCAACTGCCCTGATGACTATTCTCAGGGCATGGGTCCGCCGCAATCTCGCAGAAAATCCAAAGGCCCTACCACTTGTTCCCGGACATGAGCTAGATTGGCTGGCGATGACCCTCGGAGGGAAGAACTCGGACGCCCCTTGGCTGCGCCCCCCCAAAGTTGATGGGCAATGGGACAAACGAAGCAGACCTTGGGCGGACAATGGTCATTGCGACTGGAGAATCGCAGCGGTGGAAGATCCGGCGGGCATTGTCCCGACCCAGAGCAAGGGTTCCGGTTCCTGGTCAAATGCCCACAGGGTGATGGAGATACGGAGAGATCTTGGTGAGCTTGCCGACTGGCACGGACCGGCATCCACAGAAGCCATATCCTTGGCCCGCGCCATCGAGGAGACGATGGATGCCCTCTTCGGTCCTGATTCTGCAAGCGGGGAGTTCACCTGGTCACTCAAGGCTCTCTGGTCTCTTGAACGGCCCGACTACGAGTCGATACCCTTTCATGTCAAACGGCATGGCGGGAGGTGGAGGGCATACTCGGACGAGATCGAAGCAGCGCTCTCGCTGTGGCTTTACTCCGTCGACAAGCAGGAGAACAACGTTGAAGTGGCAAAGGAAAAAAAGCAGAAGGAGTCACTGGATGTCAGGGAGACCCAAGGGAAGGACGGCGGAGAAAGGCCCAAAGACGACGCTTGGCTGCGGAAAGAGACCTCAGCAAAGCCTAGCCTCCGGCTTCTAGGCTCGCATACGGCGGCTCTTTATCGAGACCTCCAGTGGTGGTTGCCTGACGGTGCCGCCAGAGTCATCGAGGTGGATGACATCAAGCCGGAAAACGACAGCAGCACAATGGAGGTGGAGGCCCACCGAATTGTCGGATTCGCGTCCGGCGTCAGACTTCCTCCCGCAGACGTCGACATATATCTGTACGAGCGGAAGTCTCCCGAAGCCCCCTGCGAAGATGCTCCCCTGGCAGTCGAATCATACAGTCCTTTGAAGACACTATACGCCCAGCACATGTTCTCCGCCTTCATGTGGGCTGCGGCGGAGGCGATGAAGCGAATAGAGGACAGAGCAGATGTGCGGCCTGCACAAAGAGATGGCGAAAGGGGCGAACCAGCATGGCAATCAATTGCACTACGCAACACCCGGCTTTCCAAGATGGCTCAGGACATCCATGCCACCGGACTCGGAAGCCTGGAAGAAATCTATTTGGCCATCATTCCCCCACTAAGTGTGCGGCAGAAGCTTCCGCAAGCTGACGCGATCGTCGAGTTGGCGCGACAACATGCCAAGCAACACGAGGAGTTGCAGCATTGGAAGCAGGCTGGCGACGCGTATTTGTGGCTTTTTCGAATGGCAAAAACATTCCCGGAGCAGAGTCGCATTACCACCAAGGCTACAGCCGTGTTGATGGAATATCTGAGAACGGTCACTCGAGCTTTCGAATTGAGAGAAGCTCAACAATACGAGGAAGGAGACATCCGGGAGCTGGAAGAGCTGAGATCGGATCTCGAAAAGGAGCTGAGGACTGCTGGCCGGGGAGCCTTGTCGGGCCTTATGAGATTATATGAGCACCAGGGCCGTCATTGGACATGTGTCCCTGTGCAGGAGGCCCGGTGTGGCTGGGTAGACGACACAACTTACCCCGAAACGTTCAACTTTACGGAGCTGCATCAGAATGCCGGATCCGGGTACTGGTGGGACCTCCGAGAGGTTTTGGAAAGGGGAAACGATGCGAACCCGAAGGATATCCACGACTGGACGCCGCTCCATTACGCTGCAGCGACGGGATCAGACACAGGCACCACCGAAATACTACTAAAATGTCGAGCGGATGTCAATCCCATTGACCTTCTCGGGTGGACACCGCTACACTACGCCTGTCAAACCGGCCGAACTGCAGCTGTGCAGATTCTCCTCATCCGAGGCGCAGAACATGTGCGTGGCAAAGATGGAATGGCACCGCTGCACTGTGCAGCAATGGGTGGCCATCTGGATGTGGTGAGGCAGTTGACTGAATCAGGAGCAGCTCTCAACGTCCTGGACGCCTCGGGGACCACTCCATTACACTGGGCTGCATATGATGGGCATAAGGACGTCGTTGAATATCTACGGCAAGACGCGAACAAGAAGCTGCGAGACCATTACGGCAGGACTGTCTTGCATCTGGCAGCGGTAGCGGGAATGGCGGAAGTGGTTCGGCTGCTTAAGGGTGCCGAAAAGGAAGCGAAGGATCGTAACGGGCGGACGCCACTGCATTTGGCCGCGCAAAAAGGACATGAGGCCGTCGCAAGGCTGCTCGCCGCGGAGTTGGGCGCCGAAAAGGAAGCAAAGGACCTTGGGGGGCAAACGCCGCTGCATTTGGCCGCGCAGAAAGGGCATGAGGCCGCCGCGAGGCTGCTCGTAGAGGCGGGCGCCGATAAGGAAGCAAAGGATCGTTACAAGCGGACGCCGCTGCATTGGGCTGCGTTA